ACTTTCGACGTGGATTATCTCAACAATAATGTGTCGATAAACTCAGTTTTTTGAATGGCGACAAAGCACCATCAGAAATCTGAGAATATCGCTGGCATAGTGAATTCAATCGGTTTTTGTGCTACAAAACATCAATGCAATGCGTGAACTGTTAATGCAAGATCGTTTTTTTTGGCCCTCGGAGTGCAAGATCATCATGTTATATATTGTGTTTTCGATGGATACCCCATAATTTATCAATCGCTCAGAATAAGGTTGGCTTTAAGTGATGTTAGGAACTGATCAAAAAGTTCGACCGTGGTGCTTCAAAAGATGTGAAAAATCATGGATATATGCGTATCAGCTAGAAACAAAACAACAATCGACCTTGTGGGTATTTGATGACGAGCTAAATATAAAAATAATGGTCCGTGGAAGGAGCACAGCGAAGCAAACGGTTGCCTGTTTCTTCTGCCAAATGGGTCATGTGGTCAATGTTTTGCTTGAGCAACGTAGAACGGTCAATTCTGAGTGGTACACGTCCATTTGTTTGCGGAAGTCTTCAAAAAAATTGGTAAAACTAACCGGCTAAGACGAATTATTCTCCATCTTGACAATGCGAGCTCTGCATGCATCTCGTCAAATAGGTGAATTATTGAGTAGTCAAAACATCGAATTGATGACTCATCATCCGTACAGTCCTGATTTGGCATCCAATGATTTCTCCTTGTTCTCAAATATCGAAGGTAAACTGATGCGTGGTGAACGATTAACGAGCGCCAGAAAAGCAGTTGAAGCCTTCAAAAACCATGTTTTGGAGGTGACTCAAGAGGAATAGAAAAACTACTTTGAGAAATGGTTTGAATGAAAGCAAAAGTGTATTGATCACTGAAGGAAATATTTCGGAAAACAATGAAGCAATTATCATCGAAAAATGTTTGTTATTATTTGTTTTTCCAAAATATAAATAGTACCCCTCGTATACTGTGGAAAAGAAACCTGCAAAACTACACCGTTTGTGTGATTGAAGTTGTGAAAAAGTAGCTTTCAAAACTCTTTGTTCACTCTAACAAGTATCAGGTAACCGTAAACACAATGTGACAAAAAGTAGATTGATCAAGTTATTAAAAATCCCTTTAAAAGAACAAACTGCGCATATCCGACTTTGGAGACCACAAAAGTCTAGTCTGTTATTGAAAATAACGGGAACTTTCACTCTGATTTGTACTTCTGAAATTCGGTTCGTTAGAGTTTGAAGTAAGTGTATAGTTCATCTTTTGATGGTACGAACTTGCAGTTTCGATGTGTGGGAGCAGTGTTTTTGTTGGATGGAAACATCAGTCTTGAAACCGCTTAAAAATCGCTTCAAACAAAAAATCTTTAAGCAAATCCAAAACGAACTCCATAAATTTCAAGCTCTACAAGCTGATTCAGAGATGCGAGATGCGGTCAGATATATCTTTAGACCATTGTTTTAATAATATTGATGAATTTTTGAACAATTAATAATCTATTGATTGATAATATATTAATAAGCAATAATCATTCACTTCTATATTCATATTTGTGAACATATTCTGAAAAGTACGTTATGTTATATTGTAATATCCTTTTAAAATTAAAAGTAATGAGAAGTTTTCATCAGTTTATATATTACACGTCTCTCTATGACTATTTTCTATGTATGACATGCTGTAAACTCATTGTCAAACATTCAAATAAATCTATTTTAATATCGTTTAGTGTCAGATTCGCAGTATGTTTTCAGAGATGATATGTATACACAAGATCCACCATCAGTTGGTGTCTTTATAGATTTGAGGAGAGTTTTCAACACTGTAGATCATAATATACTTCTAAAAATCCCTGCAGATATAGGAATAGGAGGTAAACCACACGATTTTTTCACAAGCTCTCTACTGAATAGGAAACAATTCGTTAAAATAGGTGACAAAGTGAGTGATGAAAAGACCGTATTGTGTGGTGTGCCTCAGGGAACAGTGTTAGGACCGATATTATTCAACATATACCTCAACAATCTTTTTCTCCTGAATACTTACTCCAGAATCATTAGCTGTGCTGATGACATGGTCTTGATCTGTAAAGATGGTGATTGGTTTACCCTGAAATTGAAATCAGAACAGCATCTGAGTCAGATATAAATGTGGTTGGATTATAGGCTACTATCAATAAACTTTGAAAAAACATTCCACTCACCATTCAGTAGCTATGATTAACCTTGCCTACCTAAGAAATTGCTCTCTCCGATGTTGCGGTCATCAGGAATGTCAAAAAAATCAAGTACCTGGGTATAATCCTAGATAGTCATCTCAGATGGGACCACCACATTCATTACTTGATGAAAAAATTACGATGTATTCTACATGAATTCAAAAGTATAACCATCAGTATTCTCAATTTCGAATAAAAAATAATGATATACAAAAGTTTAGTTCAATCACATCTAAATTACGGTATCACTGGCTGGGGCGGAGTCTCCAAAACCCATCAGCACTCCCTCGAGGTGATGCAAAAACGCTTTCTCAGAGATGTATTCTAAATAAATACTATACCTACCCAAGCGACCTCCTATACGAAGAACCCGAAATATTCGATCCAAGGCAGCTTCTTTTTAATTAGTATAACCACAGCCCAATACACGCACATAAATGAATAATTTGGGACCATAAATATAACACTCATCACAAAAAACTATAGTGATATCAGTCATGAACAAAACAGTAGGTCAAAAAAATTATCGATACTTAGGCCCAAAAATTTTCAGCTCATTACCGATAAACCTGAAATGCGAGACAAATCCAAAAATGTTCCAAAAACCCTCAAAAAATATATCAAACTTATACTCCGTGCAGTAATGGCTGAAAAAATAGAGCATCAACACGATATTTTTCAAGCTTCAATGTAGTACATCTTCCAAATATATCTCTCTTCAACTAATATAATGAGTCAGTATCATGAATTTCAAAATGGTTGCGTCAGTTATGTTCATCTTGATTTGAGACAAATGAGTTCTCTATGTGTCCTATACCATGTAAATGCAATATGAATTTTATCATGATAGTTATTTCTAAATATATAATATANTACCATGTACATGCAATATGAATTTTATCATGATAGTTTTTTCTAAATATGTAGTCTACTATATTGTGTCACTAACAAAGTATGTCTTAATTAACTGTGATCGCTTCCTTATACAATTTTTATCCCTATATGTAACAATATGAATACTATATCTCTAGTACTGTTTCCCATTACGGCATGTATATTCTTCCCAATTTCACGATCTTGTGAGTCCTTTATATCGAGTATATGTGCTATCATATGAATTCCATAATTTAAATGTGTCATTCTTGATTTGAATCTACTGTACTATGACCATTAATCTATATACTTTAATAACTTGAAATCGTTCTTATACAAGCAATTTTGAATTATATATATTATCCTTCCTTACACACAAGCAGTGCAATGCTTCGTAAGTTCTTGTTTTGTTTTATTCATGTAGTGTCTGAATGAATTGTTCAGATACCTTAATCAGCAAGTGGATAAAATTATTATTAGTATTATTATTTTTCACCGTAATATGCGCTGGCCTTCTTGTTTAGTCAACAAGTTCAAAAACATGAAAAATAGAGATAAAGGTCCTAAAAATATGAACGATAGCTCATTCGATTCGAAATCACTTCTAGAAAAATGTTTTTGAAGGATTTTGGTGCAGGTAAAAAATTGTAATTGTTATTAAAAAATAAGAT